GGAAGCATGAGCCCGATCCCAGAGCCCGAGCCCGAGCCCGCGCACGGGGAGAGGGAACGAGCACGAGCACAAAGCGAGCACAAGTCCGAACAAGACGAGGACAAGGCCGCACACGACTACACAAGCGTAAACGGGTACAGTCGAGCCCAACTCTCCCCATCTCCTCGACCCCGTCCCTCGTCTACCGAATCCTGCAAAGCACCCCAGAACCCGAGCGAACACGAGAAGCACAAGCCCGGTCAGAACAAGTGCGACCGGTACGAGCCCTGCGCACGCCGACAAAAGCAGTAAAATGTTTTCCGAGATCCCAAGCCCGAATATACTTCTCCGCGCAATCCCCTTCCACCCGCAAGCAAGACCATCCTCCTGCATCCCCATGACCCGACCCCAAAACGCCGCCCAAGAAATTAAAGCCTCCACACCGGCATAAAAAAAAAAAGGGAGGCAGGGAGGGCGAACGAGCCCGCATACGACGAGAACAAGCTCGGGCACGATGACGAAAAGCCCGCACACGCGCAAGCAGGGTCGTCCTTCCGTCTTCGTCTCCGTCTCGCAGCGCACGAAACCCCCCGCACACTCGCGAAGGCGGTAGAAGGGCCGGCTCCCACGCCTTATTCTCTGCCCCACGACGCTCCCCACCCTCTCGCTCTTCCAGCCCACCCCGCGCACGGCGTCCGCTGCAAAAGGCCTCCAAACGAAGAAGAAGAAAGAGAAGAGGAGGGAGGCCCGAAACTGTCCAGCCGCGCCAATCTGCCAAACTTGGGCACAGGAAAGGGAGAGCTCCAGCCCAACGCCTCGACATCGAGCACGCAGTCCGCGGCGAGCGGGGAGCGGAGAGCACGAACGCAAAACAGAAAAAGAACGGGCCGGACGAAATAATAGGCAACAAACAGGCGAGGGAGAAAGCGGAGAACCCACCTCACCGACGACCCACGCCCACACCACGCCACACGCCTCCCACACCCACCCCGTCTGCGCGCCTAGCAGCCACGCGCGGGGGAGGGTGCGGAAGAGGAGCGCGAGGGACAGGTGTGGGCGGAGGAGGGTGTGCCGGAGCGGGAGGGAGACTAGAGGGGAGGGAGGGTTGTTAGTAGGGAAGGATAACAAGGGAAGGGAAGGTAGGGGAAGAAGGGGAGGGAAGAGCAGGTCAGCGGGCGACCTTGGACGGTACGCAGGCGCGAACGCAGCCGCTCAGTGCAGCGATACCCCGACGTCCGTCCGAGTCTCTCCATGCACACGCCAGAGACGCCCTAGACGCGCGCCGCTCAGCCCGCACTCGAACGTGACGTCGACGTCTCCACCTCCCTCGTCCGACCCGACGTCTGTATGAGCAGCGCGCACACTCGAACACAACGACGACGTCTTCGCCTCCTCGTCCGAGCGCGAGCGGTGGATGCATCGCCATCGCGCACTCTTCCTCGTGCGGACGGTGGATGCCTCCCACCCCGCCCCCGCCCACGCTTCAGCGATGCGCCCACCGACATCCGTCTGCATCACTTCGTCCGAACTGACATCTGGAGGAGCAGCTGCGGCGCCCGCGGGCCCACCAACCCTCCTCGTCCGAGCGCGAGCGGCCGATGCATCGGCGTCGGGCACGCAACGCATCCTTTCTCTCTCTCTCTTCGGCGCAAGCACCAACGCACAACACGGTCCCCGCGCGCCCAAACCTCAGCCGGCCTTGCCCTCTCCCCCCCAAAAAAAAAACCAAAAACACACGACTCACCTCCCGGAACCCTCTTCAAAACCGGTAGCACCACGAACAGCAGCACCAGCGCGGGGGGGAGGGCGAGCAGCGCGAGGAGAGGCGGGGCAAGGAGGGCGGGAGTTGGGGTGGTTCGCTGTTAAATGACACTTCAATTAGTATCGGTAGGGAAGAGGAGGAGGAGAGGTGGGAGAAGCGACGAGGGGAGATGGGAGAAGGGGAGAAGAGGTAATATTGCAGGGACGCATGTCATAACCGCCGGCCCGCGTTCGGAGTGAATAATGCTGACGAGCGCAACGCCCGACGCAACGCGCCGCCGTGCCCCCACCGAAGCAAAAGAGCGAAGAACGGTGCAAACGCGCCCGCCAAAAGAAAAAAACATGAGATCGCGAGGAACGCAAAAAGAAACCCGTGTAGAGAGTGTGAAAGGGAGAAGGTGGGTGGCCTTGAGGCGCGCTCGCGCCCAGTCGTATGCTACGCACCCAGATGGCGTTCACCCGCGGAGCCAGGAGGCAAGAGAGTAATGCGTGCATAGGCGTGAAAACGAAAACGCCAATATATATCGCGTGCGGCGCGGCGCTGCGCAGACACACGTCGACATGGACACGGTGCGTGTGTCGGCAACTGCGCGCGTGGGGAGGTCGAGCCCAACGCAACGACGCGCGCGCCCACCCGACACACACGACAGAAACAGTGCATGGGTACGAAAAAATAACGAAGCATGAAAACGTCAGTACACATCGCGTGCCGCACACCGACCCTTTAGCCGAGGGGAAGGGCAACTGCGCGCGTTGAAGCAGACTCGGAGTACAACGCAACGCCCAACGCGCCGCCCGCGCTCGCGCCAATTGTATGTCTACGATGGCCAACGCGCGCCGCTGTGCCGCGGGACGGTGGGTACCGCGCCCACGCGCAGCAAGCAGGCCCAACGCGCCGTCACACAACCTCGCCCACCAACCCGTCCCTCGCCTCATAAAAATCCCGCGAAAAATCGGATGCAAGGCAAAAACCAAAAGAAAAACGAAAGACTGAAGAAACGCCACTGACCCTCGAAACCGAAAACGGCCACACCCACACATCGCGCAGGGTGGCGCGCACGACATAGAGGGCGGCGAAGAGGAGCTGAGTGGTGGTGAGAAGGAGGAGGGTGGGGTGTGGGGTGTAGGGGTGTTTTCTGTTAAGGAAGATAATGAGTGAGCGTGAAATTTTAGAAAGAGTGAGCAGGGCAAGGGAGGGAGGGAGGGATGGGGAATAGAAGGGCGGCAGGGTGACACCCGTTCGTCTGCGGAGGGTATTCGGTGCGCGCGCCGTGGAATGCGAGTCAGCGAGACTACTTTCCACCCATCCCTTGGGCGAGCGCACCGCGCGAAAAGGCAGCGCGCCGCTGGAACGCCGCCCGAATTGCCCAACGCCACGCTGCCTTCGCACCACCAACCTCAAAAACCACACAAAGGAACGCCACGCACCGCGAGCGAATAAACACCGGAATCGCCGGGTCCAGCGCCGCATGGACCGCCAACACCGCCAACGCGCCAAATACGTGCGCCTGCAGCGCATGGAAAGTGCGCGTACGCAGCGGGCCGGGAGCGAGGAAGGATTTTTGGAGGAGCAGGAAGGGCGAGGGGGAGGTGGTGTGCGTTACTGGGCGTGTCGAATGTTAGTATTAGGACAAGGGTACTGTGGAACACAAACGCACCAGTCAAATACGCCTTCCTCACAAGCACCACCGGGACCACGCTACCCAGCCAAAATCCCATAGCAGCGCCTATGACTCTGCCCACCCCCATCCTAGTCACACCATCGATCCATGCCAGCCACACCAAAGAAACACCGACACAAATCGCGAAAGTAAAAGGGAAGATGCGCCGCGCCAACCGTCTTTGAAGGATCGTTTTTGCGAGGGGGATGTAGAGGGCGGAGGGCGGGGGGATAGGCGGGGCAGCGGTGCTGCGCAGAGGCGTGGTTATGGCGCGGATGGGCGTGACACTGGGGCGCGTCGAGGCCATGGTGGGAGGAAGAGCGCGGAGTTTGTCGTTGTGTGGCAGAGGCGTGAGAGAGACGCGCACACGTGATGGGAATGTGTTGGGCGAGGACGCGTAAGGTGCTGAGATTTTCGAACCCCTTTACTCATTTGGCTAGGATGACCACCATAGTCCACAAAGGCTTTATGCCTATTCTGCATCCAGAAGTATTCAAGCATTCTGGATTTACAATGATAGATTGTGTTGAATTTCTTGTGGTCAGAGCTGGTGGTTAACAGTAGCCGTTCAATTCCATTCGATATCACCATGGACAGCAAAGGCTCAAAAGAAGAAATAGAACACTGTACACTACAAAAAAAGAAACAAACTCTCCTGGGTCCCATTACATACCTTCGAGGGGAATTGAACCCCTTCCTCTTTGATACCATGTTAGACGGTTACCTTATTGTTACAAGGTGATCACCATGGTCCACAAAGGCTTAAATGCTGAGAACCTACTAAATGAGATGGTCTTGGTGCAGAGAAAAATAAAAACAATTCAAGTTCGGGTGCCCTCAAGAGTTCCAACCGTTGTGCAAATTGCAACCAGGTCATCACCGAGGCTTCAATTCCAGATTTGGTGACAGGCTGAGACAGAGAGAACAAAAAAATTGCAATCCCACATGGTTTCAAGGGGGGTGCAACGTTGGGCAAATTGCGACCAGGCGATCTACCAAGGCTTCAAATTGAGGATTTGGTGGCAAGCCAAGAGAACAGAAAATCGACACATCAATATGAGATGCCTTCAAAGGGAATCGAACCCTTCCTCCTGGGTAACCACGTGGAGCTACTTCCTTGGAACAGGATGACACCATGGTCCACAAAGGTTTTAACTGCACTTCTACTTCCCTGTGCATGGGGACACATCAAGACAATGATTTTCAGAGAGGATTTAGTGGTTTATGTTCAATCTCTGTGGTCAGTCAATGGTTGATGGTCTAACTTGTGGGCTTCAAGTTCAACGTGGTTCAACTGGTGTGGCCCGGGATGGAGAGAGAGCGGAAGATAGATTAAAGCAGAGAGGAAAGAAAACTTTGGCCAACATGCCTTCAAGGGAGTCGAACCTCTTTCCTCTTGGTACATCTTCTTTGATAAACAGCTATTGCGACGGGTTGATCCACAAAGGCTTCCCAACTATATGCTAGATCTGCAGATGTGCATGCCAATTAAAAGTGATAGCCTGTGGGATTTCAGAGTGGTTCAACTCAGATGGTCTTGGTGCAGATCGGGAGAGTGTAAAAGAAAAGCAGAGAAAAATAGGCAATCCTCGCGAAGCATGCCTTTGAGGGGATTTGAACCCCTTCCTCCTCGGTACAACTCACATCGTTTCTCCAGTATGGCAACGAGGTGATCGCCATTGATCCACAAAGGCCTTCTCAATCTATCTTGTGTGTGTTCATATGCATATGCATTTCAACACTTCAACGTGGACACAACACAAAATAAATAAAAATACGACTCTTGCCCTACAGGCCTTTGGGAGGATTCGAACCTCCTTCTCCTCGATACAATTCGGGCGGACCGTTCATTGTGATGAGGTGATCACTATGATCCACAAAGGCTTTCAGTATCTTGGGAGAAGAGTTTAGAAGATTGTCTTCAAATTCCCTTAGGCTGGGTCCGTTTTGCTTCAGGGATGTTTGACTAAGAGCCGCACTATGGATAGGGAGAGAGCGGAAGAGCAAAATAAAGACAATGCAGAGAGGACCTCTGGAGGGATTCAAATTGGTACCCATTCCTCCTCAGTCCAACTGGCCCGGTGCTCGTCTTATGATCCACAAGGGCTTCTCACATCACTCTGACATACCACATCTCGCTATGTGTATACACTTCATTGAACTCACGTAACTCTGACATGAAGCATCAAAAGGAAAAAGACCACAGGGAATCCAACCTGCCTTCGAGGGGAGTCAAACCCCTTCCTCCTGATACAATGTTCGATGGGCTTTTGTTTTTGTGTTGTAACGAGGTGATCACCATGATCCACAAAGGCTTTCTGAATGTCATTTTAAATCCCATGTTGTCACAATGATTTTGGAGCGAGAATCCACGAAATAATGTGCCTAGCGGTTTGACATGGGGTTTCAATCGAGATGGTCTTGGTGCAAATCAAGGGAATCCGGGCAAAGAATAAAGACAATTCGCAATCCAGCATGCCTTCAAGTGGGTTCAAACTGTGCAAATTGCAGTGATGTAATTACCAAGCCTTCAATTGGTTACAGTAGATAACATAGTACATACATCTTCTCTCTATATAACTCTCCCTTGACTCTCCCCAAACCGGCAACCCCTCCAATGATGCCCCAATATGCACTGCTTACCGCCACTTTAATCAACACCCTCAGCCTGCCATCCCCTCTCTGCTCCCTCCTTCCCTTGGGCGACTTCAATTGGCACCACCCACTATGGTCCGGCATTCTCTTCCCCCACCGAACAGCAAGAAGCGAGATGTCTGCAATCATAGACCTCATTGAGTCATGGCAGTACACAATGTGGAACTACTCCTGAAGACTGTGATGCTGACATTCTTCTCAGCCCCTCACAACACTTGGTCCACCACAAACCTCGTACTTATGCTGCAGCACAAGCCTTACTTGAACTGTAAGGACAAACAAAATCACTTAGAAGACCTTCCCAGTGGGCTGTGTCCCTGTATCCTTGTATCTGCGGATTCCAACAGCCGTCTCAATTGAAACTCCCACATTCACACGTGCATGCTTCGTGCCGCAGCTTGTGAACCCCAAACTCCACATTCTACATCGCTTTTTCTTTGTGACAAGATCGAGTTCCCTATGCAGACCACCTTCAGCTGCACCATAAAGGTGCCGTACTCATTGGCTTGCCGACTCGAACCCACATCAATCACTCTGCATTCAGGTGAACAACAATTATCCTGGACTCCTGCCACAAATATCACCGGTGTGCTTGGTGATTCTCATGCCTTGTACAATCACCATCATGAACAAAGACTTTTTAGACATGAATGACTGAGCTCCATGTGTTTTTTACGGTCACCTATCATGAAGTATTTGATCTCCTCCCAGATCTCCGATAACCTTGATCTCAAACCACCACCACTGATTTCGCTCATCCCTTGCTCTGCGCTCATCCCCGTCTGTACTGCTAAAACTTATCATCTGGCTTGGTCCTTGGTGCTCTTCTAGGGTTCTTTTCCTTGCGCTTAGCTTGTACTCTACTCAAACGGCGTGAACTGGCTCAGGAATCTACCAGAATTTCCCCTTTCCGAGCACAACCGCATATCCTAGGACCTAGCTTCGTCTGCTTCCGACTCCTCAATAACCAAGAGACCTGGAAGAATGGGGGCTCTTCCTGAAGAGTGTAGATGTCTTGAGGGGTGGCTCACCTATGGGATTCCGATCTTTCCTTGGGTATACCGAGCGCACGGGCCATTGTCGTTGTGGTAACCGATCACCCGATATCACCCAAATTCGGATCGCGATGACCCGGGTGTTTCAAGTCGCACTTCACACCTCCTTGCCTGCCATTCTTGTCTTGCGCACACTATTACCTTGGTACACTCACCTTGAGTGGTAATCTTCCAAAGACAGTGTTGTAGCTCTCTGCGGCGTAAATCAAGGCCGTCAGTGAAATTGATGCCTCGTTGCCTGCTGGTTTTAGTCCAGCCTTGCCCTCACGCACTTTTATTTGGTACACTCATCTGGAGTGGTAATCCTTCCAAACATACTTGTTGTAGCTTTCTATGGTGGAAATTGAGGCTGTTGTTGATTCCATCAGTGCCCTCGCGCATCTGTTTATAATCCAACTTTGCTCTCGCGCGCTTCATTGAAATCTAAGTTGTCTATCTGCTGTGCAAGTTGCCCTTGTGCGCTTGTCTTCTCAAGCTGGCTCTCTACTGCTATGGTGCTCTTTTGCTCGTGTCAGTGTACTAGTTCTACTTTTATCTGGTTATAATCCAGCATCGCCCTCGTGCATCCGGTTATATTCCAGTATTACCCTCGCGGACTTTGTTGAAATGTACTTTGCCGTCTATCGCTGTGCAAGTCGCCCTCGTGCACTTGTCATCTCAATCTTGCTCTCCACCGCTATATGACTACATTGTCTCAAGTTGCCATTGCACACTTGATAATTTATCTGTCTGACACGAGCTTCAAATGGCAAACTATACTAAAAAAATTCTATTCTTAGGCCCCATCGTACCTGAACCTTTGGTTGTGGGGAATTAAACAGTTCTGCTTGTTCCTGCACTCTACCAACAAGCTGTTGTACAATGGTGGTCAGCTCATGGTGTGGTGGATGACGGGGAGTTATGCTTGGAAAGAGAGGACTTGGACCAAGCCCCATTGGGTCATATCCGTTCGTCCTGCCATAGTTGAAGGCCAGCCAACCATTGACCAGTTCACCATGGGTGCAAAGTTTGGCGAAGGTCAGTGTACTTCTATGCTTCTATTCAGGTGCCCGTGATCTACGGCCTCGCCGAGAGAGGTTAGCTTGTCGCGGGTGGTTGGGTAGCGGCGTGGCACAGTATATTCTATGGGGCCAATATACTGCATGTTACAACTCGGAATGTTCCGAAATGGGACCATAGCGAGCTCTAATATTATCCTGAGTCTTATCCATCTATTGACAATCACTCTTACTTTCCCCATGCATCAATCTTTTGATTCCAACACTCCAGCCTACGGGTATTGTTGTGGTCCTTTAACTCACATTCTGAGGGCCTGCCTGACTTTTGCAATGGCTAGACAATTTCCACCTTTTGGTTGCTGCTCATCCCCTGGCAACATGTCAAGCCTTGTGTTTGCTGATAACAATAGAATTGGGACACCAAAAATCCCTATCAGCGAATCAAGCTCTCCAACCAATTCGGAGAACAGTGCTCGAACAAACTAGATGCGGCCAGTATAGGACTCTCATAGCCGGCATTCTCGACTGCTTCCCCCCTGAATATAACTCAACCCCATTAAACTAACTAACCTTATTTATGTGTGTCTATCTGCCATGTGGATCTGGACATCGAATGACAAGGATCTGCCATTGAACCAGGTGGTGTGATGGACTTGTTCTGCTATGTCCTCGCTTTATTGTTCGTTCTCTTGGCCCTCATACCAACATCTCAATTTGTCCATTTCTCTGGGCATAAGGCCGCTTGCTGCAAGTCCTCTGATCCCTCACAGTACACGACTCAAATACATCACAAGTTGTGTGGTCAGTTCAATGTTCTCGCTGAAATTAGAATCGGACTGCTGCTGTACTATGCCATGCTCTTTGTCCCCACAATTGAATTTGAGGGCTGACATTATTGCCCACAGATTTTGCACCGCGCACACTCCAGAAATCAATACTAGACCCAGTCATTCCAGACCCCAAGCATGCATTGGTGTGTTCTGTTTCCTTTCCTTCCAGACTTTCAGAACAAGATCTATACATGTACAATGAGATATTCTCGAAGGTATTGTCATACTTCGCTCATTATAACCTCACCAAGTTCAGACAATCGGGATAACGGCACCCAAGTGAATTATATACGCACATTGGCCTTCCTGGGTGTTTCAGTGACATCATCCCTGTGCTTTCAGCCTTCCTCCGACTTGTGTGAGTCCTCCCTTCAAGGTCTGTGGCAGCTTGTTACTTTTGTCCCTACTCGAACCGAACCGAAACTTGCCAGCACTAGCTCCCTGCATGTGACTTAATACCTCAGAATTGAATGACCACACCTAATCTGCGCAGCGGGAACAATTTCTTTCTGAATCAATTAATTCACCCAGTCTGGTGTGATGCAGTTAGTTCTGCCTCGCTTGTGTAGCCTTCTCAGATCTCCGTCAAGTCACATTGTAATAAATAAATAAATAACTGAGTCAACCCAGTAGACAGGAATCATAGATATAGAAAACAATTTTACTGATACAGCATAACTCACTGAAGTTTCAACCTGCCACTTGTGTCTTTGCTCCACCAAGATTCTCCTCCTCCTCCTCAGTATCAGGTAGATCATCCTCTGCCTCTTCCACAATTCTGGTAGGTGCATTGCTCTCCATGAGCTGAGCTAAATTCCTTCTGTATTGCTCCAGTCCATTTTCACCAACACTTGCTAGCCTTTTATCAATGTCTTCAATCTGTTTGGTCTGTGATGATCTCTCAAAGAGTGGCCTTGCTGCATCCCAGAAGCTCACTGCCTTGAACAGGTCATCATGTTCTTTAGCAATATCTCCGAGTCGGAGCATGCATTCAGCTCTGCTGCGATGGACATCCATATATGTGAATCCCTCAAGTGCAACAGTAAACAATCTGACAGCTGTGTCCTCATTGGCCTGAGCAAGGAAGATGTCTCCCAGAAACTGGAGAGCCTTGTTTATTCCTAACTTCTCTTTAAATTTGATAGAATGAGCAAGG